CAAAATTATTGGTAAATTGTTGGAGCATACAACATCACTCTGCATCTTGGAATGGTCTCACAAAACATCTGAAAGAAAACAAAACAACTTATAAAACTGCAGCTACAGCTATTAATAGTCTCCTAAATTTATGGATTGAATATTTTAGATAATTATCTATAAGGAGCTTTACGGAGCATTTTGATGATTTCCCCCATTTGGGGAGGGCGGCTGATAATACGTTTTAACCGTCATACAAATTAATTAATAACCAATATCAAATCTGTCGATGACGAAATGTCTCGACTTGTATAGCATTCCCTATAATGATGAACCAAATCTTTTAAATTCGTTATCTGGTGCCGACATAATTTATGATATCAAAGTTGAAGATCTTCTCTCACCCCCTGGGTTATATTGTATACATTTTTTTAATACAATTACAGATTCATACACACGTACGTACCTTAAACATGCGTCGCTGTATCACTGTAATCACAATTAGTGAGCTAACATATATCAATACCACGGATCCAATTTATTTGCGAATCATCGTTTACACTGATAATAATTTGTTTACATGGTATATCGTCTGGTTGAAATTCGTACTTTGAGCGAATTTATCGCCCAAAATCCAGGACAAGGCCACAAACTTGTGATAACGGGGGACACGTGGGGAAGATTAATGGTATAATCTGCAAACAGGTTCATCTGGAAGTATAGGAAGGTTTATCAATTCAAGGTTTTTTCTATGTGTATCTGTCTGCAAGTCATTTCTAGTGCAAGGAGTCCTTATTGGTTTTCTTCTCTCTTTTATGTTTTCATATTCTATTTCTCAATTTCTGCATTTTCTAACTTTCCATGTACAGTCCCCCCCCCCTCCCCCCTCCCCCTCCCCCCCTCCCCCCTATGCAACATGCAGGGAGATCTGTGTGAAAACCGTTTGAAGTTGTTAATCTCTCCGTTTTGTATTAACAATGAACCTACCAGATACCATATTTTTCCATTTTCATATGTATTTCAATATTTTCATCCTGCTACACCAAGTCTCTTTTCAGAGAATCTCCATTTATCACTTCCTGGTAAACATATACCAGTAAGGAAAGTCCAGTAAACTATAGATCCTTTTTTTAAATTTTATTTATTTGCTATTTTGTTTAACCTCACTTCTTTTTGTACCTCCATTTCCCATTGAATTTCCCTAATTATTCACAAGGAACTCCATCGAGCAATTCCACCTAATCATTTTTCGGCAGATAAAGTTGTAATAACTGAAACATCATCAGTTTTCTCCATTTTCCCTTCCATTCACATCTCCGGCTTATCCATTTGGTTTGTTTTACTAAAATCACCTGATTCTCAGTAATCATGCACCCTGTCTGTACAAATCTTCCAATACTTAGAATAAAAAAGAATGAGTAAACAGACCAGACACTGCCAGGATAAACATCAAATACAGGAACACCAAAACAAAACATTACGATTAATCAACTAATTGCACCAATGCGACAACACACGAATTAAGCAGTCAAATCAAACAATGCTTTGTAGCGATAATTCCAGTAAGATTTAATATCTCTCACATAGTCCATATCAATTGATTACATTTAGCAATAAATGCCAACATTGAATTAATTAAAGACCAAGGCATAGTCATGTCATGTCATTTGAGACTTAATAAGAATATGAAATAAAATTTATGCAGCTATCTTTTTAAACACCATTTTGGTATACAATATATCATACAGTCTCCTTTATTTCATTCTGGAAGACAAAATGGATATAAAATAATACATACATGATAAGAAATTGATAATGAAACATAATAAAACTTCTCTCACAGAATAATTGGGTGGTGTAAATATGACCTACACCAGAATGTGTCAAATTGAAATGAATGAATTCTGACACTTTGAGAGAATTTAAGTAAAACCCAAAGTACATTTATTTCCTCTTCTATATCATACATGATGAACATGTAAAAGACTTTTTTTTTTAATACTAGATGAAGTTATACTTCATAGCTAAAATGATTTTTAAATTTAAATAGAAAAATAAAACAAGGGACGAGCTCAGCATTAGCTAGTAGTACTTTATAACATAGGAATGAATCATCTGTTGAGTGTTCGAAGGGTGTTAAATTTGATTTAAAAGATGAGTTGCCACCCCTCTGGCTCTCGGGAGAGATGACACTCAAGTTCAGTGTCAAGGGCCATACTTTGAATAGCCATTCAATAAAGGAATAGAGCTCTATATAAAATCATGCTGGTACATTTTGCAAAGTATACCGGTATTGAATTGAAATACAATATGTATTGCAAATTCTATTGCATTTCCTTTCTTTTAACTTTATGACGATCATGCAAATTAACCTAAGTTTCCAGAATGCCTAAATTCAAAATTGAGTTATCTTCAAGATATAAATAATTTCAGTATTACACAGTAGACATATGAAAAAAATACTAATGATAATCATTATTACATGTACCAGGTAGGTACTTGTAGATTAGGAGACCAAAGTACAAGTGAGATAAAAAGCAAACAAAAATATGGGCATTCTTCCTTATAACACAATGGAATTTTTTTAACATGCCCTATCTCAACAGAGATAATTTAAAGCAAGAGAATATTCTTCAAGGGCTAATTGTTGTGTGGCTCTAAAATGATAGATTCTCATCAACGCATAACTTCCGTGTTTTTTTTTAAATACTACAAGCAGCACTAAATCAAACTTGCACTCACATACAGAAAGCAAATTAATAAGTTACAAGTTACTAAATGTAATAAACTATCCTCAATGATTCAGTTTTATAGCAAAACTTCACATACTACAGTGGAACCTGCTCTAGCAACCACCTGTATAGAACAACCACCCATCTATAAAGACCACATTTTTTTGTTTTCCTTCAAAATCTTTTTTCATTGAAACCTTGAGTGGTCTTTATGTACAGGTTTTGTGTAATATAGTCTATTCAGAGCCAGAAGGGCGTTAACTCTGTTTTAAATTATATGGGTTAATGTCCTTCTGGTTCCAAACAGAAAACATTCCCAAATATTTCTTGCTCTAACATAAGAAAATAATTTTCATGATTCCATATGGCTATTCCAGAAATAACTACAAATAGACATAGCTAGTGATTGCATAATTTATAACATGACTTAAAGAAAGCTGCAGCTAAATAGTTCTGAAATATACATGTTGCATTGTTCAGGGTTCTTATCTCTTTGGTTAGACCAAGTGCATTACTGCATTGATGAGTAAGATGCCCAAACAAACTATATTTAGCAGTAAGCAAGAAAGGATCATGTCGAAATGATAAAGCCTAGTTGAATATGCTTAAAATCACATTCTTGACACAAATTCAAAGTTATCAGTTTAAACTGAGGTTCACCCTTGCCAAAAAATCCCTTAACAACAATGAGTTGCAACAATTTATAAATATCAATATCAAGATCCTGTTATTCAAAATGTCACATATAAATGAACTGTAAACATTAGTTCTGAATGTTACATTAAATCAATATTTTACAGAAATATATACATAAAAGTTGAAGCGGATATATTTTCATGCTCATGATAATCTTGAAGATCTCTGCTTCCCTTTCCTGTAAGAAAATGCCTATCACACCTAATAACAAGGCCTATAATTATTGAGACATACATGTACTGTACACCGTAGCAGTAATGCACGGTGTTTGAAGGTGTAAAAAGGCTTTTATGCAGGTAGAACTGAACTACACAAGATTTTGCATTGAAACAACTCAATTGCAGTTTAGTGCTGTTTAGCATAATTTCACTTGAGGAATCAATGACAACCTTCTGCAGGAATATCTGTATCGCCTTATGATAATATTCATTATGATGAAATGTTTTTTGAAAATGAATGTGAATAAAAAAATACATTTGCAGCATTGGCTCTAATGAAAGCAGCCTAGAGTATAGACAACAGCTCCAAAAATATTATTTAATATGCGACAATTGGTGCATTTCTACAGGAGAACTTGAGAGTAACGGTTAGAACAGACCTGGTAAATAACCCTACATAGGAATGTTACCAGTCTGTTTCTACAAAAGCGCAGTTAAGGGTCTTTAACGGGTACACTGGATGTCTGGAAATTGTGCAGTGCGTGCAGTAATGCCTTGCATCATGTGACCTATATGCTAACGCTAAATTCTGGAAATGTTTCTACAGAACTGAGAAGGCGAGCGTACCCTGCAAAATCCACCTCTTGAGATGGGTATGCTGTTCTATTATAAATTGTAGCATTAGACTTGGATTATGGAGTGTTTCTAAAGAAGCGCGTAATAGGATAAGTCTGGAGTAGTTTGGAGGGATTGGTATGCAATTCTATTACAGCATAAGGTTATGGAAAGTAAGGGTATTTTGAAATCCTGTATAAACATGAACATGCCACTTGTCTGCGTACACATAGATTTAATGCCCTTCTGCCTCTAAACAGACGATAGGCTAGATTCACTCAATTCACTCTCTTTGCATTTCATGAAAGGCCTTTCTTCTTTCAAGCTTCTTGAGTACATACTACATAGGTGAGTAGCAACATGATTAATTAAGGTGTTATAGGAACAAAAATCATTTAAGCTTTATATCTTACAAGGCATTCGGTCGTTTTCTTCTAAAACAAAGAAACTAGTCAATTTACAATAATATAATCTGTATATATACATAAATGAACAAAGTATTCAAATTGAACATTAATAGTTATAGCAGAAAGAACACAGAAAGAGAAAGAGAAAGAGAAAGAGAAAGAGAAAGAGAAAGAGAAAGAAAAAGATGGTTTATCCCATCTTTTGGCAGAAATATTGCCACGATAGCTCATAAATGTAGGTTGGACCATGTTTATATGATTTATCATAATAATTATAATGTTTTCTGTATTGATGAGCTGGAATACTATACAAAAGTAAAAAATTTACAGAGAAATTTAAATGTGAGAAAAAAATGTACACAAATGCAGAGAAGGAGGTCCAATGACAATTGGTACTGCTGCATATGGGGTTATTTTAGGGAATCATTCAAATGGGTTAAATATCCAATTAATCAAATTATCAATGAAAGACATTATCCATTTACATGTACAGTATACAAGTATATGTCCTACAAAATAGCTGTATAATCTTACATATTTAATAATAACCTTTGTATTTAGGATCCCAATAGTCTTTACCTGGCTTCTAGTTTAGTCCAGGTAAGTACAAAAAAGATGGAATTATTATTAACACAAGAGAACTCCTACTGACATTTGACCCCAGGCCCTAATGGCATCCAACACAACACATAATAAAAATTGGTCAGAAGCTACAGTACTTCTGTATCAGTCCACTTCGGAAATTCATTTCTTTTGCATGTAACTCTATACAAAATACACATCATTTTTAGAAGGGACAGTCATGTGGATCTGATTGACAACATATTGAATTGAGTTGGTGCAAACTTTAACTCTCTTTTGAAGAGAATTAATTTGCTTTACCAATAAATCAACAACCCTCACAATTACCTTTTGAAAGGAAGAAAAAAATAGTATTTTAGGTCAAACCTCACATACCGTCCATGGCATGGAAGAAGGTAATATCCTACACAAAATTCTGACCATTGAACATCAATGGTTCCATCAACTAGCCTACAACTTACAATGTCCATGGCACTACAAGTCTACAAGCTTTGCTGCTTTGTTAGGTAAGGGTGGAAAGGTGAACTTGATGAAGCTTAATTCACAACTGCTATGCATGATCCCTAGCGAAACAAGAATTGAACAAAGTTACTTTCACAAAATTAATATTTCTTGGTGGATTACGTAGATAAAATGCTGATATAAAAATATAAAATGGAAATGTTCCTTAAAGGCATTGTTTAACAATGTTTCAAGTTTTACAAATCTGAGATGCATGGCCCTACGTGTTAAATCATTGTCTATGATATGGTGAAATATTGACGCCCTAAAAAAATTGTGCTTCAAAATGATCATGAAGGGGTTCAAAAAGGACCAGATTTACCATACCGGTACTCATTTCCCCAATAGACTGTAGTATTGTTCAAAACTTTTTGGCAAACAGTCTTTGACATTTCTAATTACAATCATAAATATTTTGATAATCAGACAGGCGATCGGCTTGTAGAATCAATGGGGTTCCTGACTGACCTAAAGGTTTATAATCATGATTGCAGCATGAGCTAAATAACGGTACAGGATCTTATTTATAATCTGAGGCTAAGATACCAGATCACTTTAATTGGGCAGGACATCATTTTTCTTTGTAGTATGCTCAGATCAATCCTGGATGACACACCTCCATTGACGAGCCAATCACAGGAAGAGTACACATGAATATTCATTTTTTTCTGGCAGTTGTAATTGGTTACTTCAGCAAATTATCATATATAATCAAAAAGTTGATTGGTTAAGCAGTTGAATATTCATCATCCAAATAGATGATTGTTTAAACTGATGAATATTCATCATCAAAGTTAATTGGCTAATCAGCAGATGAATGCATCATACACACAGCTGACTGATTAATCAGCAGATGAATATTCATTGCACCCGTACTTGATTGGCTTCCCTTTTCATATTCATCATCATGGTAGATGATTGGCTAATCAGTAGATGAATGCATCATCAAAGCAGTTCATTGGTTGCTTCATTTCATACCCAGCCTCATAGATTACAGGAGCATGTCACCTCCATAGCTTCCAATAGGATTAAAGAAAGATGACCCATAGCCCTTGGACATGTAGTCAGAGATATTCACCTTTCTCATCTGGTTCTAGAAAAACAAAACAAAACAAAACGAGGAGCATTAATGTCTCGTATAATATATATAAAATGTGAAAACAATACACAATTGAATGTATTGCAGAGTTTTCACTTCCTAAAAACATTCACACGTAGCTAGACAAATAAACATAACCTAGGAAGCCTTGGAAATACAATAAAATACTAGAGTTTCCTGTCATTACCCTTTACAGGGAAAAATGACTGATCACTGATCATGTATCAATGATAGACAAGGTAACAATAAGAATGTGTGGTAAAAAATTAAAAGAATAACCTATTCTCCCCTGGCAGCGACAAAAAGAGATCTAGTTGTTTATATGAAGCAGGTACTGAATATGATAAAAATCAATGCTGAGCCTTTTCTACATAATGTAAGACCAGAAACCTTCGCTTGAAAGAAATGTTCGCTCATACCCCCCCCCCCCCCCCCCCCGAATTACCACCAACAGTTTTTTTTTATAGGTTTTTACAGCAGTGTAAATAGTACTACCAAAAAAAAAAAAAAATCTACAATGGTTTTTCAAATTTGTTTTTCTGCATTGTAAATTGGCCTGTAGTCAGTCGACATTACACATCAAGGGACTGCACTGTATGTCAAGGTGCCTGTGTTGTATATATCCAGGGTTAACATGATGTGGTTTTGAGTCATTACCAAAGTTGTTCTTATGTGTATAAAAAATAATTCTGAGTTTGATTATGACTGGTAGATGTTTCAGTGCAAAGAATGTTCATGTGAAAGGGGCATTTCAAATTGCATTATGGACCGGTAAATAGAATATGAACAGGGGTAGAGAGGGAGAAGGGGAGGGGTGCCCCTAGTCTATACCGGTACTTACTATACTTAGAAAGTGTGACCACAGGTCTCTCTCCTCATCCATGGTTAAATGTGTCAGTCTGAAATTCTATTCGATTTTGAGACATAATTCTACCTCTGAAATTTTGTTCTGCTCTTGTTAGAAAGTGTGAGACCTGCATGGGCCTCCCCCATAGAATCCTGGATTGTTCACTGGTGAAATCAACCACTCATTTAGATTTCCCAAGTCTACAAAATTATTGAGGCTTTACATTGAAAAGCAAGGCATTATATAGTTACAAACAATGTAGGGTGCCTAGGGTCAATCTTTATGTTTGTGTTTGCTTTAGGCCAAATAACAAACATGAAGTGTTACTTGTCCCCACCCGCCTCCTTTTTAAAAATTTTTTTTTACTATTTACTATTCTGAAAAAAGCCCCCCCCCCCCCCCCCAAAAAAAGAAACCTGTGATATACATTTTGTTTAAATAGCTTCTAAAGTGATAAAATCATTTGTTTTGTCATACATTGCATCAGAATACTCACATAGCCCAATATCTGTGAATAGATAGGCTTGGCCAGCTTTAATTAGCGTGGCAGCCATCTTGGAAAAAAATTGTAAAAAAACTGCAAAATAGTAATGCCCTGCCTCCTCCTTTTTTTAAAAAGTCTGGAACATTTCATTCAAGCGCAAGTCTTATTTTTGTTATTTTGCTTTTATTGTTGTTGATATTTTTCATAAATGTCAGTGAAGAACCTATTCCACTTTATATTCTTCACTATGATTATAGCCATACACTGTACATTGTATTGTAAGTTGTGGTTATACAGTGCATGTGCCCTCAGTATTGAAATGGCAGGGAAAAGAGATAAGAGAAATTAAATAAACAGCTGGATGTGGATCTTTTAAAAAACAGGAAAAAACAGGGTGCAGAAAAATAAACCATACATCCTGTACATGATGCAAATTAAGTTGAACAACACCATATTACCTTCATGATCCAGGTAAACACGGATGGTGTATTTTTAACGTAATAACAATTCTACTAGACAAGTTTCATATTTCACTTTTAAAGGTACCATGTCCAGGGCTCAAATTAATTTTTTGTCCACGGGGGCTCTTCCCCCCAAAAAAGAGCCCCCGTGAGCCTTCTCACGGGGGCTCTTTTAGTACTGACGGGGGCTCTTTTTTATACAAATATCCATTGAATTGGTACCTATGATACTCCTGAATTGTTTGCTATTTCATCATTATCATTTCAATCAGCATTTTCCCTCTTACAAATTTACAAGCTACATAGCTGTTACTGGCCTGTGTATATAATATATACGCATACAACACTGATCTTTATGATGTCTTTAACGTGATATATATTCTTCTCCCCTTGCAACGAGAAAGAAAACAGTCAAGGTCATTAAAAGGGATTAGGCGACAAATAATGATTGTGATTCAAATTGATGCGAATATTTGTTTGAATAAGCACTGCTATTCACCCGAATCTTCTTTGTAAAAACAACTTTTACAAATCTTAGCCATGCTTACTGAGTTGAGACGTTCCATTCAATGTAAAATACTCATTAAAGAATACACTTTTCCTAATCTGAAAGTGATCTTACAACACAGTGGCAGATTTGCATGGCTGAGATTTGTAAAAGTTGTTTTTACAAAGAAGATTCTGGTGAAAAGCATTGCTTATTCAAAAAAAATCCTTGCATCAATTTGAATTACAATGATTATTTGTCGCATGATCCTTTTATTAAATAACCTTGTTTTCTTTTTTGTTTGCAGGGGGAAAGAAGCTATGTCACGTTAAGAAATCATAGAGTCAGTTGTTTTATGCGTATATACATTATGATACCAGAACAAAATGTTGATTATCAGAATGTCATTTTGGAATACCTCTATACAAATACCACATTGTCTTTAGCCCGTATCAGTATTAGTATGATTCAATATTAAGATATTATTCTTTATTTAATTCAGTATAATGCTTTTCCTCAAAAATAGTTTTGCCATTTTGTTAGGGTTGAGACGCTAAGAAATGGTTTCAAATGTACATTACACGAACCCTGAACCATTGCAAAATGATGGTGGTTCTCTCTCTCTCTCTCTCTTTACTTTAATCATGTATTATCAACTACATATAAAGCAGCAACCAAACACTTAGGGTTATCTGAGATAGGTGAAAGTAAGAGTTAAAAAGAAAGTCATGCTAAAACGGCGCTTCACCCCCCCCCCATGAAAAAATAAAATAGATTAGTAGTCCTCCTCTCCAGCATCCCCCCCCCCCCCCGCTTTAATATCACATTTTCACTTGGCAGCCCAAGGGGCCGGGGTGGGAGGAGGGGTTAAACCCCTAACCCCCCACCCCCCCCCCCCCCCCCCCCCCCCCGTAGATCTGCCCATGTTACCATATCATTCCACGACATCTTGGTCTTCCTCTTCTTCTCAATAGGGACTTTTAGATTTGCGTCGACGTGGACGTGTTACGTCCTTTTAAGGCACTGGCAGTCACATGTGACGTCCTTTTAAGCACTGGCACTGCCTTAAAAGGAGGTCACACGTTTCAGTCCACGTTCCCATCGTGCAAATCTAAAAGTCCCTAATATTGATTTACTGGTCGAGGTTCATTATTTGCTAGTCATTTGAAATCACCAGATTTCAGCGGGTTAACGCTTTCACAACGAAAAACTTCTCCATGACCATGTTTCTGCCCTTGCGCGATCGCCTCCAGCTCCAGCAGACATAGCGCGGCAGCGTGCACACGTACCGCTACTAAGGGCGCAGTAGGCCTATAACCACTGCTGACGGCGGCACTGCACTGTGAGCTGAATCGGTAATAATAAGCCTACTCATAAAACAAGAAATCTTGCACGCTAATCTAAGTTCCATTTCATTTCATCGAATCGCCCACCGCCCCCGTGTATTTTGAGCGCTGACCATGTCCCTTTTGCAGCCAACCTCAAATTCTGTAGAACTTTGCAGGAATTATGAATATGTCATGTATGTCCTATCTGTGAAATTTAAACCTTAGCAGTGTCCTCATATTCAAATTATGCAAGGAAACCCGTTTACTTGCTAGACTTCACTGTCAGACACTATTGAGTGACTGACTGGCTTTTTTTCTTCTTTGGTAATAACATACATGAAAAGAGTTGTAAAGGGTACATGAGCATTTGTCTACATCAATAACCCACTTCTTGTGATGGCCAAGATTAAACTGATTGAATCTTTGCGCAGCATAAAATGTATGACCATTCGGTACAATTGTCTGAAAATCAAGACTATTACTTTTGGGCTCTATAGCCCTAAAGTCGATTTGACAACTAATAGTCATTATTTTCCCACTTGAAGACATTTTCAAGCCCCACCTTTTTTAGGGAAGTTCTAAATAAGTATTATCTTTCAAATGCAGTTGGAATTTAACTTTTTCATTTTTTTGGCCTGCAAATGGGACATAGTACCTTTAAGGACTCGGTCAGCCAATGACTTAATATGTCTTCCCTCCACATCCTATCTCATATGCTGGCATGAATTAGCCAGGGATAGTGAACAGTTTAAGAGATCTATTATGCATAGACTGTAAATATACTGGTATGTTTCTTTGGAATAAACCATGGATTGAAATTGAATCTACAGATTGTTAGGTTTTGTTGTTTTCTCTTTCACAATAATGATGTGTAGGTTTCTTATCTTCTATCTTTTTTTTCTTAAAAAAAAGAAGAAAGAATTAGATCACACTGGTCACCTTAAAATGTATGTTACAAAATACAAATCTTGTTTTACTCAACTACATTGTACTAAAAAATAAAATACTAAGAAATTTTGAAGGATTTTTTTTCTTTCTTTCTTTCCTCCTCCCCTCTCCTTCTAAAATACAATAATGGCAAGGTTGGGTTTTTTTTTGTTTTCTTCAGGTCCTCTGGCTTTTCTGATGCACATCCTTTGTAACTTTTACTATCAGGCCAACAATATATGAGCAAATGGCAGTGATTATTGCAAGAAAATGTAAAAACTTGGCTGCTTTATTCCAATTATTTCTGGATGTTTTTCTTCTTCTGTCCAAAGGCAGGAATGGGGATTGATGTGTGTCTTTATATCATGAAGGTTTCAACCGTCTCATCAAATGTAGCATACACCCTGTACATGACATGTCCCAAGAACAGAGCTCCTGGGCAAATACTTTGGCAACTGTTCAAGAGAGTGTGGGGAATCTTTGTCCCTGGTATAACAAGAGTAACCACAGAGTATACAGGTACTGTACACAAACAAGATAATGGAAAATCCTGATCCACAATTAACAGTGACTACGCAACAGACATGCATTCACACTGCACGTACACGTATATATCGTGTACAAATATAGATCGACATTGTACTTTCAACACGTTTTGTTATGGAGAGCATTAGCGATACTGTTCTTTTCTTTGAATACATGTAGCTATAATGCAGAAGAATATGACTTTGAAGTTTGAACAATCATTCATAACTTGAATCAATATGCAGACCTAGTTTTATATATATTTCCAAAGCCCTTCATGTTATCTACATCTGCAATGTAGGCTACAACAGTCGTAGTTTGCATTTGTGCAAATTGTATGCAATAATCAAGTCTTTCTATACATACATGTAGGTCTTTTTATACATGGTCATGAATGCCTTGAGGCCCAAGAATAAAATTGTCCATCTTTTTTGAATACTCGGCATGTATGAAGGAAATAACTTCGGAGCAGAACACTGGGAAAAATCTGATTACCTGTCCAAGGTAGTATAACCCATAGCCCATAAGCTGTTAGGCAATGGTGTGGTTGAATCAATTTTACAGGTACCGGAACCTACAGTTTACATCTTTTTTAAAGCCATTATTTCCATAATAATCATCCCCACATTGAATGACTGGTGTGCAATTTGTTCAACAGTAAAACATTCACTTGAATTCACTTGAAATTCACATGTGATGCTTTTATGTATGATTATTTACAAATTCCATATCTGGTTGATTTATAATGGTGGTAATTGAACCCATCACATCAACAAAACATGATCAATTTTTTTCCCAATTTTTTTTTGTGGCCAGCAAATACTTTTTTTTATCTCCACATTGAATGAATGGTGCGCAATTTGTTCAGCAGTAAAACATTTACTTGAAATGTACTATGCAATGCTAGGTTTACATTATGTTCCTGGCGGCCACAGCAGTCCTGTTTGCCCGAAATGACAAAGTATGGCTAAAGTTTCTCATCTGACAACTAACATTTTTAAAATATTTTTTTTTAAATTTAAACTACATTATCATCATGCAGGCACATGTTCAAATTATGTACACCCCCCCCCCCCTCCACCAAGCATGCTGGACTCTCATGCCTGTTGACACAATTTTTCCTCTCCCCTAAAAATTCCTACTTACATTCCTAACATAATGTACATGTACATGTATGTATGTGTGTAGGCCTAATGTCCCGTTGTTTGAAGTCAAGCATTATGTGGTTGTAGAGAGCGGATGAAACGTAGATCAATGTCTATTTTAAAATGAACACACTGTAGCGTACAGTGAAAATCTACCAGCATCTGGCATTTTCGAGGCAGTAAAGTTTCATTTACATACTGTATGTAAATAAAGTACTAACTTTCAATTTAATTATCGGTAGTGTCATAAAATTTGACCTACAAAATATCATTTCCTAAATTCTGTCTTATTTCATTAATCTCTTACGAATAAATGTATTTCAATAGTGAGAATGCAAATTGTATACATTAGTTGTTGCTAAGTAGGACAACAATTTTTGCTTGCCCTTCTTAACAAGACGTACAGCATTCTGACTCATTTAATACAATTATTCATAACATGGGAATTAAACAATTTGTAAAAAGGCACTTAACAAAGATTTATGCATTAAATATGATTACATTACAAAAACATCCCATTTATTCCTGATTCAATCAGAAAATTAGTGATTAGTTAATTACAGAAGTCTTTATTCTTACCAGTTGGCACTTCCTCTTCTCGTGCTTGACGTTGACTTGGGGGCTCTTGGGGTGTAGGCACTTCTTCTCCATCCACTCCCGGTACTTGCAATCTCTGGTGGTGGGTTCTACAGTGTCTGGTGAGAACGTTACGCACCTCTTGAAGCTGGCCTCCAGGCAGTCTACAGGTCCCGGGTAAGTACTGGCCCTTCGTCGACCATGGTAACGAACCTTCAAACAGGGTTTCAGACAGCCTTTTGGCGTGACTTCTTCAGTTGATGTCTTCTCACTCTCTTCCACATTTTCCTTGGAGACATCTTGTCCATTTTCTTTCGACTCTTCTTCGTTGTCTTTTTCATTTTCATCGAGGTCACTCTGGTGCTTGTCAGAGTCGGCCTCGTCTTCCTCTTCCACTGGAATTGGCTTGGTGATGTCGGTAGAAGAATCGGGATGGTCTCCTGGAAGGTTCTCAGAGGCTTCACTACACTCACTGCAATCATGGTACAACTCGACTTCACACATCTTAGGCATGTACGACTCCGCCGGAAGGGACTGACTGACGACATCGGCACTGCGGCATTCCCGCCCATTGTCAAGATGGGCGCCTCGCTTCAGGAACGGGATTTTGATGTGGAGCTTGGGGGCCTTCAACCTGAGGAGACGGCGTCTTGTGTTTGGACTGGCAACGCTGTCTCCTGCAGCATTCTGCAAGTTCTGAACATCAGCATTTTCTGCTTTTTCCATTTTTAATGAATTCTTGAGCTTTGTGGAATAAAACAAGTCAACAAGTCAATGTTTAGAAATGTCCTGCACAGATCAGATTGAGATTCAAGATTAATCCATCCAAATAAAATCAGTTTACAGTCATCAATTTTAAGACCAAGTCAGGTTACAGTTTGACCAAGTAGCACTTGGGCATTACATTGTATTGGTAGAACTAGAAGTAGAAGAGACTAAAAGTAAAACAGCTCACACCAGACAGACATCGAGTGATCGACAACAACTACGAATGGATGCTACAACGCGTACACGTTAACTCGTTACACCTTATCTCCCATTGAACTGGGTCATTTCACTGGTAGTGGAAGGTCATTGAGGCCGGAGCAAACTTCAGAGGTCAGATCAGATCCACAACTGCATCACAGAATTTGATCTTGAGATTATGAGCAAAGGCCCTGAAACAGAGCAACACGGACGATTAGATGGCAACATGCAGCAATCCACAAAATAATCTGTGCTGTGCACGTACGTTGCGTAGCTATTCACTGTACGTGTAGCGTGCGGATATATGGGCAAAGAGATAGAAAGGGGAGGTACTGTGTAGTGTTTTGTTTGGGGTCACCGATTATTAGTCTAAAATGTCAAACCTGAATATGTGACAAACAAATAATAATGTTAAAGAAATCACTTTAAATCAACGAATCATATATTTGGTGAGTGACTAAACTATAAATAATATTTAAAATATAATACTTTTACTTAATTCAGTACTACAATTTCAATTTTATTTTGATTTAAACACTTACCTCATATATGATGTCTCAAAATAGACTAAAATTGCTGGACGCAAGAGCGAGTATTTACATGTGAGCTCATCTTCACGTGAACCTTCTCCTACTGTTTATAAACAAAGAACCCTGGCCATCGACCTGGTTCTTGACCAAAATACAGGTCTATGTAGGCAGCCGTAGTCACCAGCGTGGTGGTGGTGGTGGGGGGGGGGGGGGGGGGGGGGGGGGGGGGGGGGCTGAATCCCTCATACGCTCCCCCACCCCCCCCCCCAAAAAAAAGGACAGGGGCGCTTTGGGGCTGAAGCGCTCATACGCCCCCCCCCCCCCCAAAAAAAAAAATGTACACACGATTAAAAAACAAATATAAATTGTGATTCGCACTTTGTCCTTTGAAGAAAAGGCTTTTAACACCTACTTTCGGAAAACCCTCGCGGCAGTATTCGCATATATTAGTATATTGTAAATTTAATATACATTATTATCAAATTCAAATTTAAAATTAAACTTTATTGATTTCAATCCAAACAGATAGGATCATTCTCAATTTGTTTATACATCGGATATAAACAAATTTCAAAGTTTTAGTATTACATAGATAATTGAGTATATAAGAGTAAAGATAACAATAACCAGGAATAACACCAATTAACATACTAATTACTACTGCAGGTCACACCTGAAATATAATACAGGGATGAAAATAAATTATATTACTCGTAATCCTTTCACAATTTGTTCCCCTTTTCTTTAAATTTGAATAAAAAAAGGTTTAAAAAATGCATCATGATAGTAAGAAAATATACACATAATGGTTTATGATTGCCCCTCATCACGAGATGATCTCGACAACTCGACCCTATTCAAAATCCAAACTCGTGGGAGACAGTGAGCATGGGAAGACAATAAATAATGCTTTTTACATCGAGATTAATAATAACGGTAAAAAACAATCAATGCACTACTAATTTCGTATAATAATTATTGTCGTATCTGAAGCCGCCACTACCTCCGTTAAGGGTGACATTTAAATGTTATTTCATATATGAAAACAAAAGACGTATTTATACTCCATATTAATATTATGAAACAATAAATAAATATCTGTAAGTGAAATGGATAGTTTAGTTACTGGCGATCTGGGAGACGGGAATACAACATTATAACGAGTATCAAAATGACAAGCATAAATTAGAATTGGCATCCAATTATTCCAAAGTATCTTCAAAATTTTGATATGTATACCGTGCTTTCATCTGTGCCATTTTCTGAAATTAGTTATGTATAGGAATCTGAGCGTCAAGCATGATATAGCTTGGGTTATCCAAATTCGCGCAAAATCATCTTCATTTCACAAAACAGCAATGCTCAGTGACGAGTGGTTCGTTTGTCGTTTTAAAATCGACTATAACACATGTACACACCACTTACCTGTATTCTCCAAGTTCAAGTATGCCTCCCTCTTCCATTAAGAGACAAAATCACGAAAGCCTTTAATTTATAATTATAACGATGAACTTATGTTTGATTGTCGAGCAATCATCTTGATTCACATCGAGCCAAGGTGTTATTTAAATTATTGTCATTTTCAACAGTCTCCTGTGAATGTGTTTTGCATAAACTTTTTATTTTCTGTATTTTAATGGTCTCAAAATGACTTAAATGAGGAATTGATGATTCCGTCATATTACAGCTATTATTATGTCACGCATGTATAACATCTATAACATAACAAACAGTGAGTTTAGACCTAATCTCAGGCAAAACTTGTCTGAAAAGTGGGAAAAAAATATGAGAGGAGAGGCGTTTTCGGGGTTTTAAAAGCTAAAAACCAGGGATTCTTATATGAGGCCTTATCATTCGCTTGGACCCCACACCGTTAGACGATGAAGTAAAAACGTAAACATTTACGTTTTTCTTAGTACAATGTTTCTTTAATAAAAGTAATGTACAGCAGTCTTGGAAAGATGGAATATGAAAACAAAGCTACGGATGATTATGTTAAAGGATTTAAACGTTTCATTTCTCTTCCATCTTTTCTTTTGGATTATGATTACATTAATTTTACATCATTATCAATAAAAGCGAAATGCTCATCTTATATGTATATCCAGTTTTTATTGGACCCGATTTTAAAATTCAGCTATCCATGTCATCCATAAACTACCATCACCGTGGTGTCGTGGTCCGGTGCAGTTGGTTTGATATTTTGACACCTCTGTCAATTCATTCTCTCTCTCTCTCTCTTATTTTATATATCATGTTTTAACGTTTATATATTTGACGAATAAAATCAAAGATTAATAAATCAATCAACGAATCAACGAATGATTTCACCAATCAATCAACGTTATAAACAAGATCGACCATGTATTACGCGTAGCGACTTTATCTCTCTCTCTCTAAAAAAAGGGAAAAAACGCTAATAAAAAAAACTAGTAATACACAGTGGCAAGACTAAACAGAATCAATAATACCAATATATTTTATACAATACAAAATGGGAAAAAGAACCGACCCGCACTTTGCATGAAATTTTGCTCTTCACTCACTATTATGTAATTGTATTGATTTTTGTTTTGCCTTTAGCTAGTTTATCCCCTAATATTCTACGTAATCGTCCATTTATTTATTTTTTCTCAAAGAATTATTCTTTTTGACGTAAAGAGAGATGACTTTATGACTTTTTGACAAAACTATGTCTTCCTCCAAACAATCATGAGCTTCAAATATTTGTAAATATGGGGCCTATCATATCACTCTAGACTCTAGACATAAATTGCGGTTGAAACACACACGCACATAGTTTGCAAGAATCTGCAGTCAATTGAAGGAGGCAGACTTAATCAGAAGAAGAAGAAGGAGAAGACATGAATTGAACAATATACAGCTTATCATTATTTTATCCGTGTAACTCCGCAACCATTCTTGACAGAAATGTTACCATAGCCACGCGTCCCTTGCGCATGCGCAAGCTCGATTTTTATTTTCGTGAAACGCCCTCTTCATAGTTTTAGCCAAAATTATGAGCAAATATTTGCGAAGCTTTACAGCGATAATCGGATCTTTGACATTTTCCTTATGTGAAGTCTTGATGAAATTTTGAAGTTCGTGAGAGAAACAGTTGTGCTTGACATGGCGAAACCCGATTTTCCAAGAGGTAATGATATTTTCATGGTGAATTCGAAATATTAACGGGCGATATATGGGTGAATGTGGTCCCATGTACCAATTATGATGTTTGTTGTTGCATGTTGTCAGTGATCAGCTATCAAGTAGATCTAGGTCTATCATTTTCATCAGACATCAGCTCGGCTCAGGCCAGGCAATTCTGACAAGTAACATTGTCATTGAGACGAGTGCTTTTATCAGCTCATGCTCAAACTAAGGTTCTTGTAGCGGGGAAATTAGTGATGAATATTCATTAACATTTGAGATAAAATTCTTAACATTCGAAAAATATTCCACACATTAATTTATTAATTAAAAATTAAAAAAGCAAATTGCAGGTCTTGACTTAGATCTAATCATATATCTTGACTTGACATCATTATCATCATGTAGTCTTGATTTGACTTCTTGTAGAATGTTACACTTACCTATGCTAGATGATAGATAATGTATTGTTATGTCCTTGAATAATCTTTAAAAGAGCTTTAAAAAAGTCTGTTTATTAAACTGATGTTCTGAGTGTGTGCGTCTGTGTCTTAATCTACGTAGGGGCCAAGGCCAGGGCGGTGTGTGTGTGTGTGTGTGTGTGCGAGTGAGTCTTGAGATAATTAATTGTGTACGTGTGTTGCCTGTTGGCACAGCAAACATTTCAATTAACTGTTAGTTAATTGATTCAAACTAACAACATTCTACTGTACACCAGAAGAATTCCTTAGATGAATTTTTCATGACCTATTGTTAATATTGTTAACCATGGTTGTTTTTGCCAAAATCTAATTGCCAAGATATCATCAGATTCATCAATTTCTGATCTAGATCTACATTGTGCGATATCACTTTTGTTCATCTCAGCAGCTTGTCAAATTTGCCAAAAGTCAAGAATAAAAATAAAACCTGTTGTACACATCACTGTTTAATTAATATCAGGCAAAATTAAATTGTATTCTCCTTTTTATTTCAAGTATGGTTGTAGTGTTAGTCAGGATAAGGAACAGAGAACTGACCATTAGATTTCAGATGAAAATTTACTAATTTTTCTCCCTTTTCTCTTTTGTTCTTAGCTACACCAACACCTGCCATCCCGCCCAGACCAGTATCTGTTAAAGGGTTCGATAAAGGACAGCTGTCTTTGAAGAGCAGTCGTAAGTCTTCTTTTTAATTCTCTTCCATCTCAACATTGAAAGGAAAATCTACCCTTTTTCAAGTTTTTCAACAGAGAAATGAGTTAGTGAAAGTTTGAGAATTTTTTTCTCCAATTTTTCTTCATTTTTATTATTTTTGATATACTTCACTTGGTATAAGTATACTATTGGTACATGTAGTATGAAGTGGAGGAATAAAAGTAATATTGACATTTTCATTATTTCAGATAATATGATGTACTTTACCTTCGACATTTACAGCTTGCACAAGCTATATTAGGTAATTAAATATCATATTCCCCTCAAAGCCAGTCAATATCATCTCTTAATCCAAAGAGTAAACTCACAGAATGTGCAAGTAATTGTGGTTATCAAACTTAGATTTAAGACTAGAGAAAGATGAAAAGAGACCTAGAGAGTCATTTTATTTCCCTTCAATGCAGCATATTCATCAAACAACAAGTGTGTACTCAACCAGAATGATGTTATCAACGGTCTTAACGTCCACTATAAGAAGCTAGGTTCAGCCAAATGTAAGTATTGTTCAAAGTATTTTCTAGCATCCATGGATTCAATAAAGCATACTAACTTTAGTCCAGATTTGACTCCAACTTAAGCAGTTAGAGTTAGTCCACTGAGATATGACGCACCAGGTGTCATCATCTTTTCATCATCTTTTCATAAACATGTAAGTGTTTATATTCCACAAGTGGTAATTACTATTTGCTTCAATTAAAACTTGAATGTTGTATCACAGCATATTGTCTCTTGTGTTAATTGCTATCAAGTCACATAAATTGGTGTTAATTTTTTATATTTTTCTTCAATTTGTTCTTGTTTGTTTGTTGTTGTTGCTTTTTGTTGGGGGGTGGGTTGTCTATTCATCAATTCATTTGATGTGGTAAATCTTGTTTGCATTTTATCATATTTGCAAAAGAAAGTTTACACCCCTCATACGTTTTCCTACATTATTTCCTCTTTCTTTTTCTTGTTAACAGCTCGTATTGATTCTTCATTGCCCAAGTCATGGACATCGAGTACAATCAGTAAGTAGACCTGAAGAAAATACTCCTTATTACCAAAAGAATATTTAAATCTATGAAATCAGCCATCACAAATGTATAATTAGTATTTAAAGTGTGAAATCAGAATCACTTTTTAAAGATTTTCAATAATGTTGCTTAATGAAATGCAGTGGCATTGAAATCCACACTTTTTTCACAAAGGACTGCATCTGACAAATTAACCACATCTTTCATCATCAGTGTGGGATAAAGGTAGTAAATGTAGATCTTAAAGGTATAGACCAGTTTTGGAAACGCCCCCTCTCAAAAAATGAAATGGAAGCCGGGAAACTGCCTACTAATTGATATATTTGGTAAATAATCATCGATCCGGCCTGGATAGATATCGCGTAGTCCCATATGCATCTTTCTGTGAAAAGTGCTTGTAACTTTACCAAGATTTGGCCAAATTTCTTATCATTTTGATGATTCCAGAATCTTGCAGTACACACCAATACTTATATGCTAGATGATCAACCGTTTCTGATCGATCTCACAACGTTTCTTTCACAATGCAATCGCATGACCAGAACTCAACTTTATCTTTAAATACAGGAGCAATTATAAGTGATGACTGATGTGCACAGATTGATCAGTTCTCTCATTATATTGTTTACAAAATATTTTCCTTTCATTATTTCAGAAAAAGACCAGTTGAAGAGGCAAGCCATGGACAAGCAGAGAAAGAAATTACAAGGTCAGAAGAAAACATCATCCCGGCCTGCTTCTAGGAACACCACAGCAATGAATGACCCTGATCTAGTAAGTTTAATAGATTGATGATGCCATACCCTTCTTTTCATTCATGGAAATAATAATGAGGCGGTGTTATTAACAGCCATAACCTGCAGGATATCAACAAAAATCAGAACAACAAAAATATAGGATGATCCAACATCTTAGTCCAACATAATTCCTTTAATTAGCCGTTTTCATACCTTGATAGCGTGAGAACTTGCTCCTTTGTAAATCCCATAAGAGTTTTTAACTAGGAAGTCACCTCATAGCCATTAGCTGTATGGGGTTCTGCCAGATAACATTGTGCATTTTTTAGTGCCATTTTTCATTTCATGTACATGCAGTGTATCTGATCAAGTGAACACATTTTTATCAGTACATACATCACTCCATATAGCATCAGACATAAACTGAAGACTGTAAAAATATAAACAAATGCTTCAACATTTAAGTATTAAGTTTCTCTAATAAAAAAACACACACACGCACATATATGAATAAGACACCACTTATGAAAGAAAGAAAATCAGTTACTCACCATCACATGCTGGTTTGTGTTCACTATTCCAACACGACCACCAAAAATTTCCATCCTTTACACATGATGTAAGTCACTACTTTCTTATGTACTGGTATCTCTTCTTCTTGGGAAAAGAAGATATCCCCTCTGCTGTGATCTCATTAGTAGTGCTTTTTTATATCTGGGTAAACATAAGTGGCTGCTATACCCCCAAGAGCTGGCTGTCGAGCCGTTTTATTCACTTGTTATGAATGCAAGATGAAGTTGCTCTGTCAGGAAAGATTATGTGTGTCCACAAGTCCTCTCTATGAATAGAATCTGCTTTGCATACATTAGTTGTTGCTATGTCATTAGTGGTCAAGGGAAATTTTGTTGAAAAGGTATGCATGAAATGAGTATAGAGGTCAATACATGAAATCCCTACTGGTAAGTGAACAGATTTTGTACTCCAAAAACAATACCTGGCACTCAACTTTCCATTGTCCATGATAGACGATGAGACATACCTGCAACAGAGGATGAATACAGGTGCATGACACAGTGCCCTGCATTCTTTACCCACATACTTTCTCTTTTTAATTTGCATAACATCACAGTCAGTGATTGAACCTGTAAACATTCCATTTTGCAATAGGAAGCAAGCTCCACTTTACATTATCCTGTTTCACTCCTTCAAATTATGACACCCTTCACATATACAACCCATTCTATTCTAGAATAAAAGTTTTAGTTATGTGATTCCTTTTTTAATAAAAAATATGATTGTTGGTATCATTGATTTTGTTTTCTTTTGTTTTATGGGAAAGCCTAAGTTTTCTTTTTCCCTCCAAAGATTCTACAATTTAGTTTTTTATAATGATCAGTGAACTGGAGGGGAAAGGGGTAGGATAGGACATATGGCATAATGGGAATAAACACTTAGTCTTCATGTACACAATATCAGGAAACTCATTACTTTTTTCATTAATCATTATTTTTCTTATGAGAAATGTCATCAAGTAAGATTTAGAGCAACAGTACTGATTCGCAAGGTAAGACAAATTGTGTCACCATCTCTGATCTGATGTTTACTCTGTAGTGCGCAGAATTGGTGAAAAGAAATGTATTATATGTTTTAATCAAAATTGTTTGTAATGTTGTGATGGGGTGAGATGGGTATTCACAATTTGGGGCAAGATGGGAGCTTATTTCTAAACATGTATGATATTTACATCACGTTCATCCTTTGTTGTTTGGTATATAATGTATGAAAGTGGTAATTTAAATAATTCTTAAATCAATCACGATATGAATGTGATTTACCTGAACATATCTTTTTAGTTGTGTTTTCTAGTTTATATACCTTGCATTGATAAATCTTTTATCTTTGGGTGTGTTTTGAGGTGACCCTTACATAAGATTCATAAGAATACATTTTGCTATCATTAAATGGTTACATCAGAAAAAGATGAAAAAGTTGTCACTTTTTATTGAATATTTTTGGGTTTATCTTCTTTTATTATTAGGACTTGGATGAGGATCTTACAAAGTACGGAATTTCTGAACAGCGTGGTCCTCGACATGCTTCAATGACTCCGCAGCCATACCGCCCTCACAGTGCATACTCAGACGCCAACAGGCCGCGCACCAGCCAATCACATCTCTACAATACTTCAAACCAATACAGAAACACTAAGAATAATGACATGCAAGGAACAATGACCTTGGAATACCAGAGCCGAACGCCGAGGAAGGAGTCCGCGGACATTTTAGATAAGCGAGCCGATAAGTTTACAGAGTCCAGGAAGCTGTTCACGCCTAGAACTTTAAAGACAACAGCAACATCGAGACTTTCTCAGTCTAAGAATTATAATGCACCTAAGAGGAAAGGGAGCACAAAAGGACCTAACGATACCGGGAGATCAGAGAGAGAACAACAGTGGGATGAAAACAATACAAGGTATGATTATCTACATACTATTAAGGCTTCCAAGTGATACAATAAATTAGTGTTTTTAATATCTTAAGCGCAGTAACAGGATGACAGATCAATATTGTTTTTGTATTGCTCTGTCATCTGGGAACTTCAATTGTTGATACAATATTGCTTGATTATAGAGTCAAATTTTGTTATTTTGCTAGTCAGCCTGATATAGATAATAATAATAATATTGTATGGTTTTGTTATTATGTGATACTCTATTAATATTGCTCTCGCTATGACAATATATTCTTAAATCACACTCAAGGCCATCCAAAATTATATAAAGAATCAGTGTGTGATGGCACAAAATGATGCCATTCAAAGCCTTATAACTTGATATTGCAAAGGGGTCATACTACTAAAGTAACTACGGTATATATTTCCAGAGAAATAATTTCTGTAGCTTTCAAGTTCAAAACCTGTTCATATTGAAACATGGGGATTTTTCTCCTCAAAGTTAAACATGTTCTTAAAGAGGATTAGCCCTTTGTCCCTTTGTCGAAAAAGCCAATACAGCAGAGTAGGAAATATCTCAAGCTATCCATATTGTAGCTTTTAAGGAAAAAATTCTTCTACAGTACACATTATAGATTTGTTTCCTTCTGAGTTCTGAACCTCTTAATCAAAAAGAATTAACCCTATCCTCCCCCTGCAAAACCAGAACCCTGCATTCAAAAGAGCAGCTTGAGGAATAGGAAATACCTTTGGCTATCAATATTGTAGCTTTTAAGGAAAAAATCCTTCTACAGTACACATTATAGATTTGTTTCCTTCTGAGTTCTGAACCTCTTTGTTAACGAGCATTAACCCCATCCATCCTTCCCCCTGCAAATACAGAACCCTGCATTCAAGAGAGCAGCTTGAGGAGTTAGAAGAGCGTGACCGGCGAGAGAACGCCCGTCACCAGAGGGCCGAGGATCACCTAAGATGGGTGGAGGAGCAAGCGATGAGGGTCCAAACCCTTGAACTGAACGATGGAGAGGAGGATGAGCTGAGACCAATGTCGTCTAGTCTCAAGCCGTCCAGGAAAGGCACAAGACCTCCTCTAGGTGGAACCAAAGATTTGAATGTCAGCTATGGCAATCAGTCACTCAGGTAAACATTTTTTAGAGAACTTATATCTCATTTACAACAATTAAATCGATGTAGATTGTAAGCTTTTAATGGGCATATTGTTTCTTCTATATTCCTGGAAAACCATTTTTTTCTTCTTCATTTTATGTATATCAATAAGTTTAATGCAAAAAGAAATCATTTTATAGCTGAATTTTATTGGATGAAATCTAAAGGAATCTAGATGTTTATGGGAACTTGATATTGCAGTCCTAATGGTGATTGCATGAGAAAGTCAGAGTCTGAAACTTTCACTGGTGATTGGGACCATTGTAATATGAAGAATACACACACTAAGCTATGAGAACTATAAAGTAAGTTAGCAGTGCCTCTAATTGACCTTTCAGATAAATAGATGCCAGTGTTTCTTTGCAAAGACCCTTTAATACAAGAATTAAGAAATACAGCATACAGCATATTCACTGTTGAATAGGAAGCTCCCTGGATGATATCAATCAAACTTTTCCATTTCAGGTCTGAGCTTGCTTCCATGACGTACAGAACTCCAGATCAAGTATCAAAGAGAATGCAAGAAGAGTAAGTGCTATTCTTACATGAATGCATAAGAGGAAGATTGGAATAGATATTTGTATTTTCCACAGAGCAATTTTTACAGCATGTATTACCAAATGCTGTAAAGAAAAATCAACAAGGAAGGATGGCCTAAAGTTGTAAACTTTATAAAAATGATATTTTGGAAAAAAACATAATTGACTTTGGAATCTGGTATGCTGTGTGACTGGAAGTACATAATAGTTCCTTGTGTTGAAATTTTTTTTTCTTCTTTAATTCATCATTTGTTTAACTCGATGGAAGTTCAGATTACACAGGGAAGGTCAAAGAGTATATTGGCATTAACATTTCTGCTCAAGATGTGCATTGATTTTCATTTTGTTGGCCTTTTGAAAAGTATATTTTTACCCAGGTAAAATATTAACCCTTTGCTTGCTTTTGTAGATTAATGGAACAAAGAGTGGGTTGCCACAGTTAACATTTGTCACAGTAGAATATGTATAGAACACAAAAAACACAAGTGTGGCAGTTTTAGTGTTTCAGGGCTCAAGAAAATTTAAATTGGGGTAGTAGAGGATGAAGACAGGGAGTAATGATTTATGAAAGAGGAATATTAAGAGTATTGTTTTATTTATTTGTCGATCTTTTCTGCAGGGAAGAAGAGTTGAGATACCTTGAGTTTGTGACGGATGTAACCAATGATGTCTTGAATAGAGGTATCTTCACTAACACAGTCCTCAAGCAGGTTTTTGAATCACACATAGACAAGAATAAAGGCAGACTGGATGAGGTTAGTACAAGCATTATCATCTTTTCATTTATGGTACTATTACTTCGGTGTTAATAATTGCAATCATAGATGGTGGTGATTGTAGTAGTAGTGGTAGTAGTAGTGGTAGTAACAGTAGTAGAATTAGTAGCAGTAGAAGAAGTAGTAGTAGTAGCAGTAATAATAGTAGTAGAAGTAGTAGTAGTAGTAGTAGTAGTAGTAGTAGTAGTAGTAGTAGTAGTAGTAGTAGTAGTATAGTATAGGATAGTAGTAGTAGTATGGTAGTGGTGGTGATGGTAGTAGAAGTAGAAGTAGTGGTAGTGGTAGTAGTAGTAGTAGTTAAATTGAATGATGTTATTTATTTGACGTCTTAATCACTTGGAGTAATTCAGTTAATATCTGTGAGAATGTCAGTTTTAGTTATTACCAGAACCATACCATCCAATCAAATTTTGTTTGGAAGCCAGGACTTAAAAAGAATGTGTTGGAATTCTTCAATTAAACAAGTGAAAGAGGTCAAAATAAAAATTGATTTAATCATCACATGAATTCATTTAAAAAAAACATATACTTAATATCAATAAGTGAATACCAGCCAAAACATTCACGCTTATTTTCTAACTTTGAATTGAACAGGGAAGGATGAGGCATTTGATGACACAGCTCAAAGAAGACCTAGCGATTCCATCTGCAGATAGTACAGGTGATGGGACGTGACCCTTGACCCTTGACCTATGACCTCCAACAAACCATTCATGCAATATTACATACCACTATCTATTTTCTTCTGAACAATCATCTGTCAGATAACTGTCCATAGAATATTATCTAAATGTTTTTTTATGTGCATGTACATGTAACATTTTGTTACATCCAGTTATAGCACTTGTAAATTATTTTAAGATGTACGAGATGGAATATTTTGTTGATGGCCAGTTTCTCAAGATGAAATGCAATGTGACTTAATAAACCGCAGAGTATGTATGTTCATTAACATACTGGTTTATTAAGAAGGTTATGTTTGCTTGTGAATTTTGCACAACTGCTCTTCAAATTATATTATTTGAGTCCATGTATCAAAATACTATCTTCAGGAATACAATTGGCTTGACAAAGTATATATAGAGATAGAATTATTTTTATTCTGAAGCTGAAAGATAGAATGAAAGTGATGAATCGTAGTTGTTTTAAGATATTTATATTTCATATGACGGTACCAATTGTGCAAGCAAACATGATTCTACGTGCCTGCCATGCACCAATGTCTTTCAAATGTAAAAGTGTGATTTATACGCGATGAATGTGTAACAATGTGCAAGAGTATATCTAAGAGAGAGAAAGAGAGAAACTTAATAAAATAAACAATTTCAGGTTGAATGTTTATAGCTAGTTAGGTTTAATTTGTTAATGTTACTTTCTGATGCTTCAATTTATGACATGATACAAATTCATTCCAAATTATTTTCTCCAGAAAATAGTTATACAGTAGTGATGAGAGCTTTAGGCTCAGATTTTCTTTGTACATTTGCCAGAAAGACAGAAAAGTAATGTGCAGTATAGTTTTTAAAAATAATCATAATATTTGTTCAAAATATAAATGATAATTACTATGAGAAAGTGAAAGTCTCATACGGTTTATCAACTTTGAGAAAAGGTTACTTTTTGCACAACCATAAGAAGATACAGTTAAATGCACCTGTGAATCTTGACTAAATATAGAGCTATTTTTGTAAAGTAATGAACTTGTAAAAGTGTCTTAAATATCATATGGTCTATTTCCAGTGTTGGATGTTAATGTGAACTAGAAATTAACACGTTTGAATGATTATTTCAACTTCAGTACCGTTCAAAGTAAGCCATGAAAGAGATCATTTGATAACAGTATTTATCAAATTTTATCATAGACTAAACATATTTTTCTAGGTGGCAAATATTTGTAATAACCTTGGCAAGCTCTACAGTACTGCAGTTTTCCAACAATAATAATTAAAAGTTTCACAGAATTTCTAGATTGTCAAAAAGGATGGAGAAAAGGAAAATTGAACAAGCAAACCATTTATTCTAAATTTCAAACAAACTAAAAGATTTGCATTAAATGACAGGATTTTGGAGGGGGGTTATACCTTTCCTACATTATTAGTAAAATAAGATAGATTTGTGCACAACCACTTATATTTTGTATTTGATGTCAACATTGTACCTTTGATACCGTTTAAGACAATGAGATACCCATGCTGCTGTTGTAATCATTGTGGGTACTGTAATGCAATATTGAAAACGTAAGTGTAACTCCGTCCTGTGTTACCGCAATATGTAAATTGTAAAGGGACTTTGCAGTGAGATGCTCAACTCAATTATTATTGGTTGTACATGTATATGTGTGGTAAAAGATCATCATCATGTTATATCATTCGTAATTAGCACGTTATGTTTGTGTGTGTGTGTGTAAATGGCTTTGTTTACCTGAATGTATGATTTTACATTTTCCATGAATCTTTTACCCGTATGTATGGTGTTGTTCTTGGAATATTCCCAAATGATACCATTTTGAGGGTTGATGTGATTTGATTGCACTTAGCAAAATGTGTTACTGTAATCCTTCTTGAAATCAGAACAAGCCTTGTCTGATGTATTGCAATAGCCCCCTCTGTTGTTCAGTGCTTGTATATCCAAAGTAAAGAGAAAGCTTGGAAAAGGGAGATCGGAATAATATCAACTTACATCGTTTTGAGGGTTGATGTGATTTGATTGCACTCAGCTAAATGTGTGAATCCCTCTTGAAATCAGAACAAGCATTGTCTGATTTATTGCAATAGCCCCCTCTCTTGTTCAGTGCTTGTATATCCAAAGTAAAGAGAAAGCTTTGAAGAGAGAAGGGGGGAGGGGGTGGTACAATCAATGGAATCAAAGGAATACAGAATACCACAGGAGAGAACTTTCAGTAGAACTGAACAAAGGTTGATAGAAATAATCAAATGATGGGGGGAAATGATAAAATGGTATATGTATGAATTGATTACTAGAAGTATAGTTGCAGTACAGGTAAATGTGAGAGAATGGTGTACTTTTTGTTATCTGAGTGAGTAGATCAGCAAACAGAATTTCATCATGCAGGGTTATTTCACTAGCTAAAACCACCTTGATTCTTGTGATTTTGTAACTATTGTTCTAAAACTTCAAATTATACAAGTCTGTTTAAACTGAGAGAACATGAATATTCGAATTGTGGAAAAGTTTGATATATAAAAGCTGAGCAAATGATATTCATCAATTGTGTTAAATGTATTTTATGTTGAGTTGGCAATGTTCCGGGTATCTTGTTTTTCAAGATGGATGAGATTCATGAAATGTATTTGAGGATGTTCTATTAGCTTAAAATCTGACCGCAATTTAGTCACATGTTTATACAGAAAGGATTTAAGCATATACATAAAGGATAGAAAACACAATATACACAGAGAAGATTGCTGGAAAGAGAATCGGGGGAAGGCAACATGTCCCATATTAGCAAAGCAAGAACAAATGGGCAACCTAAAAAAGAAATCAGCAATACCAGCTTTTTAAGAATAGCAATTATCAACAGAAATGGAGGGCCATGACCACCATGTCTGTAACACATGTCTTCTTCCAAAATTAGTAACCAATATTTGTACCATGAATTTTATTTCCAAGGGAGATATATATGTTTGACTTATCAATGAAGAAAACAAATTTTCAGTAAATATTTCTCTTGATAGTTTATGTTTGACCGATTGTCTTCAGTTTCAGTTTCAGTTTTATTTTTCATTTCCAACAGAACAGTAATTATGACAAGAAATCAGATATACAATTCATCATTCAATAATATAATACATTTTCAATGGTTTAAAGTTGTGAAATAGAAAGTATACATAATTATCCAGTATGATGGGTTTTTTAATTCTTAAAAAAAAGATAAACCTGTGGAAATGGAAGGATCCACTGGAATTAATATGATATTAGTGAATACTGTTTACAAATTTGATGCCTACTGAATCTACTTCTCTTATATTATGACAAGTTTTTTCTCCATTCTTTCTTATTTCACAACTTGATCCTGTAGATCATTTACCAATGAATACAAACTGTGGATAAAGTATTGCCCTCTAAAAGTTATACTGTTATTTATAAGTTTTTTTTCTCCCCCTACTACATTTACACAACATCCTTGAAAGACCCAAAACAAAAACAAAAAAGTACTAGAAATAATAAGGCTAATTTTGTTTCAACTTGTGACAGTGTCCATGCCTCAAACGTTTGAATACTACGCACATCAAGCAGTTTACTGCTCAATTTATCCACTTTTATTTTTCATATCAAAAAGGTTGATTGATCAAATTAATATATGTGCCAGAACTTTCCTTTAATTCAGTTATTTACTGACCTGAACCCTCAAACAAATGACGGTATCTGTCAGTTGTTTTTTTCTGCAATTATTAAATGTGATTGTTACTTATGATGAAAAATCCTTCAAAATTAAAGGTAAATATACTTTTTATTGAATGTCCTTGAACATGCTAAGTGTGTCATTTGTCAATCAAAGTTCCACAAATGGTCCACCGTGACTCAGGTTTTCTCTGCTGAGCTACAATGCCCCGGCCCCTATAAAGAGACAATAATTTGTCCAATCTGTTTCCTCGAGCCGCCCACCGTTTGACATGCTCCTATTTGGTGCAACATTTTGTGCGCCACAAGTCCCGCAGTTTAAATGAAATTTTCTGCAAATTTACGAAGAGTGACAGCGGTTAATGCAAGCTGGGAAGAGGACAATTGGATGAAAGTATCGGAACGGTTTGCCAAAACCGACCTGCGGTTCTGGTCAAACACACATGCCAAAGAGTGGTTTTCTACCAATAAACATGTTTTGGGTTAAACAAAATTCAGTGAAGGATATTACTTTATTTTTTATTATTGACAGTATCCTTATTCTTATTTTTCTTTTATGAAGAAATTAATGTAGAAGTGATGATAGATTTGAGATTAATAAAAGATGAGCTGCTCTTGTAAATGCATATTACATCATCAACTGAAAAGAAGTAATGTAGAGAGCTGCTAAGGTGTTTGGATCTACTTTAATTAAGTATATATATATATATATATATATATATATATATATATATATATATATATATATATATATATATGGATTCAATAAAGTCTGTCACATGAAGGCAATGCCAACATTGTTATATAGGTGTGAGGCCTACAGATTATTTCATCAAAATTACCTGTATGTGATGCAATTAAACAGAGTTTGCTCCTCAATGTTGAAGTATTGTTCAGTGTATTCACTCTGACTTTATTAGTTTATAGTTTTCATTATAATATCCTTTATTTAGAACTAAAAAAGTATTAAATCTGTATTTGAAGATTTAACCTAACATCATTCTGGCTCTCAACAGATGACATTTAGGCGCATTGGATGATATGACATTTTAAGGCTTTGAGGTGGTTTATTTATTTTGAAATTGATTGATGTTAAGATTTTACTTGTTCTATTCAAATAGGTTTTTTTTAAAGTATTCTTTTCCTCCTCTCTGTTTAATAGCGATTTTGATCTTAACTTGCTACCTGTTAAACAAGCAATACATTTTTGCAACCTATGTCCTAATTCTTCATTTATTAGATACTTAAAAAAAGTGTTTTTTCATGTGCAAGCTGTTTTTCACCTGTAATTCTCTCAATTGCTTAATTTAATAAAACCAAACATTGCAACATCACCCGTCACTAACCGACATAACACTTGCGGGTGATGACCTTTAACATTAAAGGAAACCCAGGTTTAGTTACATTAGAATGAGAGTCTTGTGAAATTCATGTACCTCATATTCTGGATATTGGAGGTTGAAAGAGATGTCTTATGTCTATTAGTGGTAATGTTCAAAAAGTACCGGTAAGCGAATAATGTGATCCTTTTTTCTTACATTTTAAACTATCAAAAGGGGCATTTTACATGAAATCTTTGGTGTAAAGAAATGATAGGAGTTTGAAAACGTTTCATAGTTTAGATAAAGAAAGGGGAATGTAAGGGATGTTTCACCTCTCATTTAATACAACTAAACAATGACATCAAACAACAACAAAATGTTTACAACACAAAGGCTTTAGATATGTGTATGAAAAAAGATGATCATAAAACTACCCATCTTTCCTTTATTGATGTTAATGTGGGGAGCAGATCGTCGACAACCATTACGAATAAATTCATCAATTTATGTGACACATTGTAAGCGTTCCACTCTACCTTTATCAAAGCAGCAACCGACCGTCTATAAGCTTGCTCACGTTGATACGTTTCGCTGCCTTTGAAGTGTCAATTGTCCCGCTCCCTCCCATCCTCCCTAATGAAAGTGGGTCAACCAAATTTAGTCCCAAATTTAAATCAATTGACCCATTTTGGTTTGGCAGGCATGGTTGATTGTGATGGAGATGTCAGAATTGGAGAAAGAATAAAGGATCTATCTTTTTTGATGTCACTAAATAAACCAACTGTTCAAGTTTGTTTATCCCTATCTCTATTTAGATTGGTTTATTCATATTAATCTGTTTAGATTTGATTTGCATACTGTTGCTTTCTGTTGGTTCAAGGTTTTATCCCAAGTAATTTCATCCTACATATCAAAGAGTACTTATAATCAGAAATTTAAAGTTTTAGCTCCTCAAATTGGCAGCTTTCAGAGATGAATATTGATACTTAATGTGGATTACCTAAAATTTGTATGCATTATGTGTATCATTGAAATTCTTAGAAATCAAAATTGTATAATATTTGGGAGTTTTCAGGTGGTAACATTAATGAGTGTACAGCTGGACTCGTAAGTCAGATGCAAACAGTTTGCTTTTTAAGCAAGTAGAAGACTTGGTGCAAAATGGGGAAAAGGTATTTTTGTGGACCGTACTTTCTGTTTGGATGTGGTGCATATATTTAATTTCAATAGAAATAAAAACATATGTTCAGCCTTCCTGTCAGACAGGGAGTAACTTTTGTCACAGGTAATATTTCATTTCCTAAAGGACGATTTACTTTCACAATATATAGATTGTTTTGAAACACATTTTAAAATATTTCATGGATTACCTATGACTAAGTATGTGTTACATTCCTTCAATATTTGTTTTTATAGTTTGCAAAATGATATACTGGTTGCATTTTGATAAATTCACCTAATTTGTTTTTATAGAATGCTATTTGAATTTATAAGAACAAAACAGTTTTCCAAGAACAATATTTGTGTGAGAGAAATACTAAACAGGAACTACTATAAACATGAATTTGATTTGCTTTTGTCTGCATCATTTAGAATGTGTATCCTCTGATGGTATTTATAGAGCTGTTGTTGCATTTTAAAGAAATTTCATTATTTTAGGTGTGATTAGGGGACATAGATTGTCAGAGGATGAAGATCAGAGGAAGTATCACTGAAAAGCCAGTCAATTAGATCAAATATTAAAGCTTTTGAAGAGATAACTCATGAATACATTAGAGAAATATATAGAGGAAGAGATGAAGAGGGGAGGAAGAAAGAGAGAGGCAGAGATCATTAAGTAAAGAAAGATATTTTGTTTAATTTGTAGCTTTTTTACAGACATACATACATACATACAGGGAAAGACAGAGAGAGAGAGAGAGAGAGAGAGAGAGAGAGAGAGAGAGAGAGAGAGGGGGGGGGGGGAGAGGGAGAAAGAGAGAAAGAGAAAGAGAGAACATTTTTTTTGTATAACACATTTCCATACTACTATGCAGCATAATTAATCAATGACACAATGCATTAATATGTAGCTGATGAGACAAATTAGATTAAATACAATTGTGACAGAAAGACACTGTACAGTACACAAATTAATGGATGGACAGGCAAAGCTGTTTAAAGGGTATCAACAAAAGCTCTGCAGAGATTCATTGGGAGCAAGAGAGGAGGGAGAGGTAAAAAATGAAAGGTAGGACACCCCCCCCCCCCCCCTGCTCAAAACAAAAGATAATTGTAACAAAATATGCATTTTTTTCTTGGAAAAGAAAAGATGTTGACTGAATTTCACATATGTGTTACTTTGATGTAGTAAACATGGTGATATCAAGTTTACTGTATATTCTAGACTGTACTCCACCTTTACTGGTTGATTCTTGATGAAGTATATACTGCAAAATTCAAATTTCTTACCTCCTTTCACTTGGTGTCATTTGCTACCCCTCCCCCATCCCTTGTATGATTACCCCTGCCCATAAAAGCATCTTAACTTTGGAGGAATTC